TTTTTTTTTTTTTTTTTTTTTTTTTTTTTTCCTTTTATTTCTTTTTCACAACAATTACACTGTCAGGCTCGCTAAGTCACTATCATTGCAAAAGTCACTCTACAGTCTGCATTTGCCACTGCCACTGAGATTCAAAGATCTTTGCTTCATTTGGATATCTGAGCCTACCCAAACTTGAAGCTCTCCATTTTGATAACTGAAAATAAGAAAACCAATCCAAATTCTAATTCTGATCCGAAAAACAACACTAAAATTACTTATACAACTGCATCTAAATTTTGTTCAGAAAACCGAAAGAGATGGAAAAATAAAGAGAAGAAGGAAAACCATCTCACATTAAACATCATTCTCCAAAGGAAGAACTGCATTTTTGGAACCCTTTCCATAACAAAACGGAAAGAATGCTCTTCTACCTTTGCTATTACAATCCTCACTAGCACTAGCCTCATTCTGATGCCTGTTTTGTTGAATAATGACTTGAGCATCCAAGTAAGTTTGTCTATCATGTGCTGAATCCATCGAGAAAGATCTTCTAATTGGTTGAATAAAAAACTGCTCATCTTTCTTTCTGATATCAATACACTCATCTCCCATGATGGAAACATGGTGACACTTCCTTGGTTTCAAGTGCTCCACCTTCCTAGTAGAGTGGTTTCTACCACGTGCCAAGCTTCCCCTTGACTCATTCCTCTCTTGTTGCACCTGTGGCAACACTGCTCCAGGTTCCCCCCCAAGTTCAATAACCACAAAATCTTCATCACTACCCATGTTGGAGAGCATCTGAGAATCCTGTGGAGAAGAACTTGGAGCAATGATATGGTCCAATGGACAGTGTGTGTTGCCCGAAATGCTTGATCTGCAAAGTGGGCAATTGGAATTGCTCTGAAGCCAAATGTCAATGCAGTCCAAATGAAAGGCGTGGTTGCAATTTGGAAGAACTTTTAGCACATCATGTTCCTTAAACTCATTCAAACAAACCACACAGCCATACACACTTTGGTTCTCACCTTCTCCTCCTTTTGTGAACTGAAAAGTTGGGATTTCTCTGATGATAGTTTCATCAAGTCCTCGGTTCCACATAGTAGGAGAGAATGCTATGAAAGGGTCCTCATTGTGTCGAACTCTCAGGAGGGAAATCCATCTCATAGGGTTAACTTGGCGCCAGTTTGAGCAGTATTTGGCTAAAAAGGTCAAGTAGCTGAGGAGCAACAAAACAGTGGCCAAGATGCTGAGCACAACAATCACAAATATGGGAAAAGCATAGTCTGAGGAAGCAGGTTGTGGTGTGTGTTGGAGTGTTCCAGCATGGGCTTTGATGGGTGGGAGAGCTTCATAACCAAGCTTGTTGTAGGAGTGGTTCTTGTTCAGTGCCATAAGCAGAGATGTGAGTGTGAGATGAGGAATGACTTTAAACTTAAAAGCTTAGGTGCATGGAATAAATAGGTTTGACTAATGGGATTAGTTAAGTAAAGAGTAAATCATCTTATCTTGGATTTGGATAGAAAGGAGTCATGCTAACAAACAAACTAAATTAATAAGAGAATAGATAATCTTGTCTTGAGGAAAGTGAAAAACCTATAAATGAAGTGGCTTAGTTCTAAGTAATAGGACACATGTGCTGATTACAAGGAAAAGAAGCAAGTTGTCACATGAACAGAAGCACGAGGGGTCAATACAAAGAGGATATGATTATTGCAAGGATAATACCTGTATGCAGTAACGTAGATGCCATCACTACAATTCTTCGATCAAAATAGTAGTTTTATTTCAGTAATATACGTAATTAAAAATTTAATTAAATGTCAATGTATATTTCTGAAGTAAAGTAAAACTCCACTTTTAATTTGACAACAATTATGACATAGTAGCTATAGTTTTATATCTAAGTTTTATGCTGATTCTATTTGTAGCATTTTTAGTCTCTTCATTGTGTTACTTACTCTTGGAGATTTCTGTTTTCTCTTATCTGAACGTTGTCTCCTTTGAAATCTCACTAGTCAGCTCATATCTGATATGTGTCTTTGATGGACCTACCACCCTACAATTAAGCTCAGAACATGTGGTCAGATCAGATTGATCATACTAATATCAAATAACATGAAGATATGAAAAGAAAGAGCATGCAGGGCATTTAGTATGTAACCATTATTTATATGTCAGCCAAACTTCTTTTAACCCATAGTTCTAGGGGGACAAACTTTTTACTGCATTTTTGTTTGGACTCAATGTTGACACAGTGCAAATTTTTTTTAAGTTATAACTTAATCATGTAATATTATTACATTATTAAGAACACCTTGACACTTACAATGACCTTTTTAAAAGTCACACTCTTTTAATAATGTGGTTATATGTGATTGAGTGGTAAGATTTGCAGTAATAATATTAATCTCTATTTTTCTTATAAATTTAATGATAATTTATTAGATACGATGATACACCTAAACCCCTGTATTCCACTTTCAATGGGAATGCAATTTTAATTTAGGTAAAATTAATCTAGTGGTA